CTTTCCTGAATGCTTGACTGGAGGCGGTAGGGAGGTCCATGTCTCTGCCTGGGACCGACAATCACCAGTTTTCTGGTATGTGAGAAAGAATTGAGCAGAGTTCACTATTTCCATTGGAAATGCCAGAAGATCCTGGTGCCAGTTGAAAACATTTGAAGACCATTGCAGGTTAATGGCTAAAGAAAATGCTAAGGAAATAGGAGGGGCTGACTCTATTCCCTTCTCGTGTGAGGATTACACTCATGGCATTTCATCTGCCTGATGGGGCTCCAGCTACAGTGCTGGTCTGCATAGGGCTTGGAAGTGTGATGTACAGCTCATTCCTTTTCCAAAGCAGTAGCCTAAATTAGGAACCCAGGGTAAAATATCCCACTGGGAGTGAAGGGCCAGTTTTAATACTTTCCCCAAAACTGTCTGTGCATTTGGCTACACAAACAGACCTGCAACCTCCTCCTTGGATCCAAATACATTAAATGCTCAACAGTAAGATCTACTGGCTTGCTTGTGTCTTGCTCAGATGTCTCTGCCCTGTGTTTCCCAGTCCAGTGTCAGTGCAGGCAGAGCAGGTTGGTGCTTGTGCTCTGACTGGCAAGGCACCTCCCAGGAGGGTCTGCAACCCTTATCTGGGTAAGGTAGCACAGAGACCTTGGGGTTGGAGGTGGGTACACAGCTGTTCACTCTGAGAAAGCTGCATGGGGTGGAAATAAAACCCTCTAAGGAATTTGCATCTGAATGAGGAGGTCACAGGCGAAGTTTCAAAGTGTCTGAGTGTAATACGCACAGTGAGAAAGAGATTTTTACATGACACTTCAGTACTTAACTCTTCAGATTCTCGTTTCAAACACCATTTTTAAAACCATTTCTTCTTCCAAAGGTATGTCAGCACTATTGTGAAAGATGGCATTGCAGATTTATCAGAGCAGAATAATTAAAGAAGAAGTTTTTTCCAGTTCTTCCTCCAAAAAGGCCTTTCTTTTGTATTCTTCCTTCAGAACTTGGAAGATATATGTTGCTCTACTGCCCTCGTTTGAATCTTCCCCCTTACATTCTCCTTTTGGACTAAATTTGACTCCCCTGGTTGACCCTGTCCAAATGGCTGGGCAGGGAGGGCTGTCCCACCTTCTGGGTAACCCAGTGGTAATTGTAATGAAGCCCTGTTCAGCATAGTACTACACCTGTAGAGATCTGGACAGAGACAAAAGAGATGTCATTACTAAGTAGGATGTTATGTTCATGCTCAAATAAGCTTCAGGACTAATCCCAAATTGTCAATGGTATTACTATAATAGCTGAAGCAGGAGGAATACCATAGCACATAATGAGATATGCTACAACTGCAGAGAAAGAAAGAACAATGTTCTAGTTAAAATAACAGACAGGGATGTTATATGTAACTATTGTGAGCAACAGAGGGTGAAGAATTAATACAATCTTGGAAAAATACTAGGCTTTAGCAATGTGCTCATCATTAATCCCTATATATGGATATTATAAAATTGAAGTGCACAAAGCACACTGTTATCTTAACATGAAAGAAGGACATTGTTGGACTTACAGAGAAAGGCTAAATAATATAGGAACAGGAAAATCAGCAAAGCACCTAAAAGACCTGCTTGGGAACTTCACCAAATGAAACAAATTTTGGGGTCATTGTAAACTGTATGAAATCCCCATAACAATCATTCTTGTATAAGCTCCAGTGATCCCAAGAACTATGAGATGTTATCTGTAATTCCTGTTGTTTATTGCAATAAGCATCATCTCAGGAAAACCTCGTGCATACCTTGAAACATCTTAAAAACACCTATGGTTAAAACAGCTTGACATATTATTGTTTCTCCATCTGTAATGGCAAAACATGTATTCTATTTAAAATTGTGTAGCTGAAAGCTAATTTCCTGACCTTTTCATAGTGTGACCCTATATACGCTGTCGCTGTGGCGGTAGCACAAGTCAGGTGGTACCAAGCAGCCAGAAGAAGATATGGAGACAATGCTTTCCATGGTTATTTCCATTGGACCACAGCCCTTGTGTGTTGAATCATGGTGTAAGAAGGCACCAAGGACCAGACTAATTTCTAATTTCTCCCTGTTCTGATTTTCTGTCCTGATGGCGCAGCTCCAGTGCAACTACTGCTCTCCATGAGGCTGCTCTAGCCTTCCTTCAGCTGCAAGCAGGCTGCCTATGGGCAGTAGTGTCACTTGGTGTAAAAAAGAGATAGTTCTAGCACAAAAGATCCCAAAACATGGTCCATGGAGTGTACTGTCACACCTGAACCTGCATGCCTGGAGATGGGGAAAGAGCCGTGGAGATGATAGTCTTTTCCTCTGTCCTGAAGCTGACAGAGTCCATCTCTTGGGGTTGTCCTTTGTGTGAGTCTTTTTGCCCCCCTCTTTTCTGCCCTGCCCATTGACCAACACTTTGCATCTGCGTGTATCTTCCAGTTTCAATGAGATCATCATCCTTGATCTAGTACTGATGCTAACCCAAGTGTGTTGTAGTGTTATGGGCTAGTCTTATGGCAAAAGTAGAGAAAAGACACTTCTTAGTCAGGGGCTTTATAGTTTGATTGATAAAATACTGTTGTTCAACAATTGTTGAAATTGTCGTCACTGGAAAAGACTCCTGTGTAAGAGAAATTAAAAAAGGTGCTGGATTTTGTCTGGCATGTCAGCCATTCCTGTGGTTAGAGTTGGCTAGAAGAAGAAAGACTAAAAATAACAAGACTATATAAGTTATATATATATATATGATTTGAATTGGTGAAATGATTCTTACTCATTTAATCATATGTAGTATCATATGGCACAGTCATCACAGTTAACAGAGGGGAAAATAATGTGTTAAATACTCTACAGATGGCTTTTTATTTTAATTGGGAAAGACAGGAGCAAGAAGCATTTTAAATAGCTCTTTTGGTACATAATAACAAATGTTCACAAAACCCCGAGAGGATAAGATTTACACGTATCTACAGCTGTAACCCAACATAGTTCTGCAAGTACTGCCAGCACAAAGTACAGGAGAAGCAGACGCATCACAGGCACCTTCAATTGATACTGATTTTGTTTATGCTTTCTAGGTTGCAATATTGGGCCAAAATCTGTGCCATTAGTGGAAAGCATTTTGTATTTTAAAGCTGTTGACAGTTTGCAAGGCAAAGTTCCTCTTTTGTCTACTTTATACCAAATCCCTATAGATGCAGCAGAGGTGAGGCTAGCAAGAAGAATAGAGGCACCCACCAGACTGGCTTTACACCAGAGCACTTTGCAGTACAGTAACTGCATCAACACTGTTATTAATGCTTGTATGTCTGGTCACTGCACAGCTGACCAAGAGCCATTGTTTATATGCTCTTCATTAATCTTTTTTGGCAGTTTGAACTGATACACACTGCAGTGAATAGCCTGGAGAATACGCAGACAATTGCAGGCATTTTGATCTCTGATCTAGCTGTCCAATTTTTTGCTTCAATTGATTTGTCTGCCATTGATGATCAAATGCAAGTCTGTGGCCAACAGCGTAATTGCATATTATTTCTGTGTCATTTACATGTCACATTACCACTGGCACCAGAATAGTTCTGGCAAGATTCAGACAGTAGTAAAGCTGCTTCTTATTAGAGGCAAAACCTCTGAACCCTTTTTCCATAACTTTGTGGTTTATGTACTCTCAGTGACATATGACTGCAACGATCTTATTGGATCACATGTGTTATGTCGAAGTGGAAGTGCCACACCTTTATTACATTTTGAGATTACAGATTTCTGCATTAGTTGAGGACAATATTTCCTTTCCCCTCTGAAAATGGGTGACCTTCCAAATCATTTAAAGATAAGAAAAGCTGTTGTTGAGAAAAATGCTACGCAAGTGATTGTGTTGTCCACTATATGTCAAGTAGACTAAGCATCCAAGTCAGTGTGCCTTTTTCCCATGAAATGTTTGGATTTCAGATGTGTAGGGTGCTCACAGGATTGTTTACCCAGGTAAAAAACACCTTACTCCTAGTTTTTCAGCTGTCTGAAAAATGAAGGTGTGTGAGTGCCCACTGTGTTACTGTGACTGAAGGTGATCTCAGCCACATGTTGTTTGTTGTTCAGCCCGTGCACCACTAGTGGCCTGTGGGATATCAGAAGGCGTGACGCGTTTTAATAAAAACTGTGATAAAATAATGTGTTAATGCAAAAGGCTTTGCTTGCTTGAACTCTTACAATAGTGAAGCAATATAATTATACCTGGTGGCCCCTGGATATTTTTCCCAGAAAGGCCAGGTGGGTGTTGATTTAGGAAGAAGATAGAAAAGCACAAAAGCTGCCAATCCAGTTCCCTTCAAGCCTCTGGCGTTGTGTCTGTCCTCCACTTCTCCAATACTCTGCGCTGAAGCAGTAATTTTCAACAGCCTGAGGGTTACACTGCTGTGTGCCTGTATGGAGCCCAGCCAAACTGGCTACGTTAGGGAGCATGTAATCCCACAGTGTTGTTCCTAGTTTCTCTTTTCCTGCCCCACCTGCTTCACCTAGCTAGAGGTTACCCAACCTCTCTCTCTCTCTCTAGTCCCATAAAATATACCTTTTGAACTGTCATTCCACTTACCAGCAAACCAGACCTTTCTGGGTTTTGTCAGTCATGTTTAAAAGATCCAGATTCTTCATAGGTCTGCAGCTGTATGTGCAGGTTAGAAGCACCTGAATCAGGACAACCAAGGTAGCCTCATCTGGCAAAGATGCATAACTTAACCCAGAGCTGCTGCTGGTGGTGGAGTAACGTGGATCTGTACCCCACATCATCTGTCTCACCACCAGAGATCCACAGAGGAGACTAAATTAAAAGTGTACCAAACTCCACTTAGATAAAACAGGAGCACACGTAAGGCTGGGGGTGCACATACACACACAGAAGGTCCACTCTAAGTCTAAAAAGATGTTCCTGTGCAAAGACAAGGAATTTCTCAGAACAGCTAAAGTCCAATACTGCTTTTGTTTTTGTTGTTTAATTCCCAGAAGGGTCAGCTGCAACGTGTCTCTCCAGGAAGATTCCACAATGAGAAAAACAACCCAGAATTGCTTCTTACTGATCATCCTCCTAATTGTAAGTATGAGAAAACAGAAGTGCCCATAACAGCTGCCAAATTCAAACTTGTAGTGATGTTTGGAAAAATGAGTACTGAGTTGTATTTGTTACATTGCACAGGTGAAAGAATGAGTTACCTTCCTGATAAATTTCAAAATAAGCTTAATAAAGTTTCTAAATAAGTTATTTCATAAAAATTTGGACTTGAAATCGTTGTTTCCTGGTGAGACAGGACTGCAAATCTAAAGGTTATGCATGTGACTTTTCATTTCTGTGTTTTACAGGCTACAACATAGCAGTGACATGGAAACTTAAGTGTTTGAAAACTTCCTTAATGTTGTTGTGTGAGACAAACTACAACTTCTATGTTGTAGAGACAGGTCTAGAAGACATGTTGGGGAAAATTAGCAACTGCAGTCTCTGGATTGTTTATCGGGTTGTGTACCTCACAAAATCACATAATATGATGAGTGTTCTGGTATTTGTGACTGTTTGAGGCTGTTCTACATATCCTTCAAGGTTGCATGTGACAATGCTCTGGCTAGGAAATCACCCATGGTCAGAGGTGTCTGTAACAAACAGCCTGAGAGACACCAGCTTCCTTCTGGGTTTGAATTCCAGCTGATCTGTACAGCTTGACAGGGGCTTTGACATAAAACAGCAATTCTTCCTATAACAAACCAATGCTGAATAAAGAAGAAGTTCCAGTTTATTTTTCTTCCCAGTCAAGTGACAGGACTGTAAATATTCTGATCATTAAAATTGTCAACAGCATTTCCAAGCACCTGAGGTACTTTAACCTACAGTATGGATTTGTAGGTCAGCCTGGAAGGACTGGGCTAATCCTTGCCCTGTTGTCCCCAAATCTTTTAAATCTCTTACTCATGTAGCATGTTTGCAACATTAGTTCTGTGCACATTCTTGCAGTAGTCCTGGGCTAGGATTTCTTTAAAGAACTCTTCAGTGAGCTCTGTATCCCTATCTTTGCACCAGAGGGCTCTTCAACTTCTGACCTCAGTGGAAAAATTAAGCACAAATTTTCTTCATTTTCACTCTTCCAGTCTCTATGTGCTTCTTTTGCCACTGCAGTGGGCATGCTATGGTCTACTTCGATACCTCTTAGATTAATTTATTTTTTGATAGGGGAGAAGTCACGTTCATAGAACTAGATCACAAACAAGCTCTGTTTCCTTGATGACACTTACCAGAACACTGCTGTTAGAGCAAATATGAAAAGTATTTGGCACCAGTCATTTTCCCAGAGATTTCCCCACCTGTAGCTGATAGGAAACATTCATTTTTTATATTTTATTTTTAGTTTATAGTGAATAAAGGGTGTCTTTCTCTTCCAAAGATTCTGTTGCCACTTTGTTGGTTCTTCTATTCACTCCTTGGTTCCAAGACCCGTGAAACATGTCAGCCGCTGTCTGAGGTTCAGGAAGATATAATAATTAAAGTGATTTGTGACACAGGATTGAACTTCCATCGCTGTTCTCTGCTCACCCCACAAACCATCCTCCAGATCTCTTTTCTTTGATGGCTTTGATGATTTTCGGTCATCATCTCATCTCATCTCTGTCCTGCACTCCCAGTTGGTCACTGCAAGCTGTTGCAAAGCAACACAACCTGTTGGGGTCCTTGTGTTTCTCCTCTGGGCTCCAGTCTCTCTGTTTGTATCATTTGTCCCCCTGTAAGGTGCCAGTCCCCCTGCAGTGATCACCAATATTGAGTAGGGCATATATTACCTGAAATCTCCTTTCTTAGGGTAGCTGTGATTCTCTAACACACTCTCAGTGTTGGAACACTTCATGTCCTATATACAGTGTTAGTGCTTTGCAGAAGACTTCCTTGGATTCTTCTCATATCTCTCCTTGAATGTTTTGTCATAGACCTTAGTTACTTGGTGTGCACAGACACCTCCTCCCCACCATCTCCTTTAGACTTGTCACCATGGGGTTTTGGTACCTTCCAATACAAACCATCTCTTTTATGTATGCCATTTTTTGTGTAGAATAAATAGCACTTCTGTGGACAGGTCTATAATGACACAGGTCTCACCTTTGCCAAACAAGAACTGAAGCAACAGTTGTTCCAAAATCTAATTTAGGAAGAACTAATTACTTATTGCCTTCCTCTATGATGGATTCCCTTGCTTCTGGATGCAGGACAATGCATCACCAGATAGTTCGCTACCCTTCAAAGGGAACATCATAAGGAAATTTAACTGTTCATTATGTCTTAGTTCACCTTTATGCCTGATGCTCTCTAGTTTTTGGCAATTACTGAGAGCCACAGAATGTGACTGAGATTTATTTCCTCAAGTACATGAACCCATCTGTGATGGAGCAATTAGTTCATCTCAATGCACATTTCTCTTCACAAGAAAGATGGAGCATCAGCACAGTGTGCCTAGCAGCATCAAACTGCAGAGAACGAGGAAGAGGAAGCAGGTTTGGATCCCATCCAGTGTGACCAATCAATTTTGCAGACATTGAGGGAAGAGATTTCTATTCTCTTAATGATTTTGTCAAGTAAGAACTGTCATCTAGTGCCTACAAATGATAGTTTGTTCCTACTCTGGAAATGAGGATTGATAGAGAAAATTTTCTCACATATTCTGATTTTGTTTCCGGAGCCATCCACAAAGTGGATGTAAGGACTAAGTGAATGTTGCAGCTGAAGGCCACACTATTTTCAATTAGGTATATTAGACCAAGATTGTATTTTAAAATAAATTAATTTTGAGTAAAAAACAAATTCTGCAAGTTCATTAGGTCCAAATTTGTCAAATTATTACCAAGCCTCAGTCACAAAGCTGTACAGAGTCTGGTGCTTCTTGCCAGCTCCTGAAAGGCTTGGCAATAATTCCCATTCACAAAACATTGAAAATTAATTATATGAAAACCTAAATGTAATTTTCAGTAACTGCACAAATTGGTGTTTTTTGGAACAAAGTTGTAGTATGGTAAGTTCAAATCTCTAGAACTCATTAGTGAAGCACTTGCCACCAAGAAGAGAGAGCTGCTCATGGTGTATCCACTTGATCCTCACATGGGGTGGTGGGGCCATGTGCTGCCCTGGGCTCCTGCCACCTGCCCAGCTCTTCAGCTCTCACTGTGAGTCTCTAAGACCCGTGTCGGTGCAAGTACTGTAAGAACAGCCTTTTCCTACTTAGATAGCAACTCTTCCAGAATCTGGTCCAGAGCAGGTCCTACCCTCCGGTGATCCAGAAGAGCTGCTGAAGATCTGTCACAGCTTCCTTCATCTTGCTTTGTCAGAACTTGCTTGCTGTCTGGCACCACTGGGAGCCCAGGGGCTTCCCCAGCCTTAAATGGTGAGATCCCCCTAGATCTCATGGCCTGAGACCATGCCTTTGGAAGCTGTTGTTGTGGACTAGTATTTCCCTGTGTAATCATGGTTTTCTTCAAGCTGTGAATACACTTTTTCCACTAACAAGTCCTGAAGCTGTTCTCACACAAGAAAACTCTGGAAAGCAATCTGCTGATATTTTAAGGTGGTGAGAATTAGTGTGAGAATTTGAGACTCAAGCTGCTCAGTTTCCTGAGAAAGAAATGCTGTATTCTGTTCTATTCAACCGATTTCAGGGGTGATCAGGAAATTGTGATTATGTCTTTGCTTATTTAAAAAATAAGGCTGTTGCTGCGCAGCTGATTGCCCTAAAGAGGCCTCTTGCAAGATGATAATCAGGGCTGCCAGCAAAAATCCATGAAGCATTCTGCAGCCTTTCTTTAAGCCCACAGTTTGCATCGGGCTAAACTGCAGGTAAAGCTTGCTCATGTGAGCAAATCCTGCAGCACTGGCAAAGAACTGTAAGATTTGTGAGTTGCTTTTCATTACAACTGTCTTGTCTTCATCTACTGTGACTGATAATATGGTGCTTGTTTAAACAGCTGCCGAAATCTGTCCTGTTAGTTGTATGGGGTCTCACTGAGATAATTACCATCCTGCTCCAACATAGTAGAATACGGGAAAATTTTAACATTCAGTGGTTAAGTAAAACAAGACATGTTGTGGTATTTCCCTAAAAAAATTGTCTGCTGTTTCCTAGCACATTTTGTAATGGATAGAAATGATTATATTTACTGAGTACCAAACACTGATGACCTTCCTAAGGCATCACAGTTGTTTTCTTCTCTGTCCTAACATTAGCAGCTGTGAAGAGTAGTTCAAAGTATGAGAGAGGCTCTGCAACCAGTCTAAATCATGCTGAGCTCTCTCTTGAAGATGTGATGTATTGAAGAACAGGAGCTTAGTGATCCACAAAGTGATGACTACACATAGCAGTTTTAAAAGAATTGTACATTTGAGCTATTGAAATCAATATCAAGTTAGAGCATGCAGAATTTGAATTATATTTTGACAGAGCTCAACAATAAATGTTGCTAAATTACTTTATTTAGTGGAAGGAGGAAAAAAAGCAAAAGCAAAGAAAGCTACAAATATCTTCTTTTCCTAAATGTCATATATTGTTACAGTTAGTGTCCTGCAAGCTCCTTGATGGTAGAAGAAAAATATTTGGGGATGCTTGTTCGTCATATCCAATATCTTGTGGGGAAAAAGTGAAGGAATTTTATGCTTGCTTTATCTGGATTCTCTCTTGCAGAAATGGGCACAGTCTTGCACAGGTTAATAGCAGTTATCTGTCTTACAGAAACCAGGACAGTATTTGTTCATTCCTGTATAATTTAATAATGAAGCCAAGTTGTTTTCTCTAGATTCCTTTATTAATTCTAGGTATAAAGTGAACTTCAGCATTATCAGAATCTTGTTTTTCCTCCTTGTGTTGATGATTTGTTTTCTTATAACAGTCATTTGTCACGTGGTGGCTTGGTGGTCGTATGTATGACGTCATTTACTTGGACTTTTAGGAGTGACATCATATGTACGGCTGCTAAACTGCTGCATGGGACATCACTTAAACAATTTTCTTCTGAAGAAATCATTATCAATCATTTTGAGACAATGAGTTAGTTATTGAGTTATGAATTATTTGTGAATTATTTATTTCTCTGTAATAAAGAATATTTATAAATGAATGAGGCATTCTTTTGCTGTATCAACATCATCTGTATTTCCACCTAAAATAACGGACGATGGATGGATGGATGGATGGATGGATGGATGGATGGATGGATGGATGGATGGATGGATGGATGGGAAAGCTTTTTAATATGCAGTAATGAACTCTGAGCATTCAAAATTTGTTCAATGTTGTAGGTAGTTACCAAGTTAAAATTACTTACTTTGTGGTTTTTTTGTGGTGAAAACGTGTGTTTTAAATCTTAATTTCTAAAGTGCATAGATGTAACAATTAAAATATAGTAGCAGAGGTGATTCCAATCATTAGCTCCCTGAGAGTACATACAAACACAGACACATGGATTCATGGTCCATTCCCAGCCTCTCCCAATAACATGGTACACACATGTAGCCATGCCCAAATTCCTGCTGCTTCTGATAAGAGAATAATGACCCAGAGATGTCTTTCTGCCCCATTTGCCCTTTTTTGAGCCCTATGATACGGAGGGCAGGAAGACTAAAACAAATAATAACATCTCACATGGCAAACTGTAGCAAGGAATATAAGGCTGGATCATCAGCCCACTGAACTGACTTTGAGAGGTCAGGCTTTAGGCTTACACATGGTAGAAAAAAAGCATTTCAAACAGGGATGTGGCTTCTCAATCTCCAACAAAGCACCAAATTAATATTTCATTAATCTGCTGAAATGGAAACCTGATCTTAAGGTAGAAAAAAAGGTGTTCAAGCTTCCAAGGCCAGCTTTTCAAATCCAGGCAAACAGAAATGAGGAGTAGTAATCAAAGGGAAGAGCACATTTAAAGGGCACATTGCAGATGAACAATACCAGTGACATACCTATGTATGACCCCTTAATTTGATTTCACACACAAGCTATTCGATTACATAAAAAGTGCCTGGAAAGATTCTTGGGCAATTAACTTTGAAAATCTGTGTCCTTGTACTTGATTTAAAAAAAAAAAAAAAAAAAAAATATTTAAGAGACATCTCTAAATCTAATATTATTATTTATTATTATTCAAATTTTTATCCAAACTTTAGTTTTTCTGTAGGCCATTAAGTGATTTTCACTGATGAAGTAAGTCCCATTGACCTTTAGTGACACAGTGTCATCCATATTTTTAATCTTTCTGAGTGAATTCCTGCCCTAAATGTAGGCAGTAGAGATTTTACTGGCAATTTCAGCTGGGCCATGATTGCCTTGCACAGAGGCAGTAGAATGGGCCTCCTGGTTATATGGGTGAGCACTTTTAAATAATTCTGTGCACAATCCAAGACATTTAGTCTCTCCACCACCACAGGTACTCTTTGCCTTCAAGTATCAAAATATTTGCATTAACCTGTACCCAGTAAGAGCTGACTTCATCAGAAATTTTACACAAGTCTCTTAAACGGACCTTTAATAGTAAGCTGTCTTTGGTGTCTGAATTGTATCTTACCCCTCAAAATTATCATCCCACACATAGATGTGTTCCCAAACTGCCTAGAGTAACAGAGAAATTGTCAAGAACAGAGGCAAAGTCCCCCTAGCTTTCTTTGATGATACTGATTTTCCTCTCTTTAATACAAACAGCTTGAAACTGAGGTAATGTTCAAAATAAGAATGGGGGAAATTAGAATGGGGTATCTATTAATCACTTCAGGAAAGCACCAGAGCCTGTGACAGTACATGGACATGATGGGTTAAGATAAAAATGAGGGTATCTGAAGAACCTCATCTGCACTTTCCTACACTACATGCTGGATTTAGGATATTGCTTGGTTGGTTTTGAAATGATTCTCATGGACTCCAGCTACTCACTTTAATCTTTTTATAAGTAAGGGATCTGTGATGTTTGGATTCACTTCTGTATTTCCTGTTCTGGTTTTCTGGAGACTTAATTTTTCACTTGGATGGCCAGATGAAATGTTCCAAATGGCTTTTTTGTCAAGGTATATCTTTGTGTGTGTGGGTATACATACACATAAAATTTATATAAAATTATTTCTGCCAGAAAATATTTTCCTTTTATTCCTCCTATTTTATTTCAAGCACCTGTTTAAGTGCAACAAGATTAACTGCCTCCAGATCCTCCAGCTAGCAGCTGTATTCAGTTGAAAATGAAAATGTTTGGGTCAAAAGAGATTAGATTGAATTAAGAAAAGATAATTGGTTAGATATACGAGTATATATACTGACATGGTTTGTCACAGAAATATCAGGATAAAAGTAATGGCTTTTTTTTTTCAACCAATCCAAACACTGTGGTTTCACTGTGTATTTTACCAAGGTGGTTTAGTGTGCAAATAGGGGAAAAATGTAATGTATTTGTGCAATACATTTGCCTGTGATGTTCAATAAAAAAAAGGGGGAGCAAAAGTGTAAGAAATAAGCTGATACTTGAATTTTCAAACCTGTCATGTTTTCAATTTGAGCAACTACAAATGCTTGCTTAAAGATCTGTGTACTAGCATTTACTGCTAAAATGGTCAAGTTTGTGTGTTTATGAGAGTCCTAGATTTTGAAGCAGCCTGTAAATGAGTCTGTATATGTTTGTGATGGCTTTAGTACTGTTTAGTATAGATGAAGTGAGAGGGTCATGCAAGGAAAATGCCACAGCAATGTTGCTTTTGCTTGGGGAAGCAGAGAAACTAATGATTGCCAATGATTGCCTATCACCTTCATGAAGAGAAGTTTCCTGATACAGGATTGAAGCAGAACAGAACTAACTAAAACTCCACACTCTCATTTCTGCTCACAGACCTGAGCTGTACAACAGTAAGGGATGGATGGATGGCAAAAAACCATAACTGACTTTGCCTTCCAGAGGCAATATTCCTTCCCTTTAAACTGCAGGCAGTTCAGAATGTGAGAAGTCAGAAGATGCCACTAGATTGAAGAGGACCCTGTTATTCAGATACTCAAATGTAGGCATTCAAATTTAGGTACTTAACTAGGAGCTAAGGCCTGTCATAATACTAAACATGTGGAAATAAAAGGCCTTTGAAGAACGTATAATAGATTTCTGGTCCTCACTTTTTTTTTTTTGTTTTTAATTTCATCCTCCCGTTTTGTTCAGATGTACTAACAGTTTTTCCTTTCTGTACAGAGAATTGTCCCAAGTCTTTCTTCTACTGTAAATTATACTGATCCTACATTAGAACCCGTAGTAACTGAAAATTCAGTCATACGACAGAAGATAATAGATTCACAGTTCAAATGCTATGAGAGGATGAACAGAGCTCCTCCGTACAAGAAAAAAGGTAAAAAGGATTTAAGAAAATCTGTTTGTATTTTGCAATGCTTGGTTACAGAACTATAAAGGAACATTTTCTTCTGTATACTAACCCATACTCTTCCTCAGGGTGCCGTTTCCTTCCCACAAACAGTAATCAAATTCACACTTACTTAGCATCCTCCTAAGTGCAAAGTAATAAAAAAGCCTGGAAGGAGCCCAGGGAATGAACAGTGCTTCCTTCCTGCATCATCTACATTTCTTGCTCAGTGCTTTGCTGCTTAAATGTCTCTTGTTCTTGCTTTGGGAATGGCATTCTCCAGAACCTCTCAGCAAGCTCTCACAAAGACCCGATTGTGAATGGGGAATGTCTTAAATATAAATGTTGTTCTGTTTGCTTTACTCTCTGTTTCGATTTTTTTCATTCGTGTATTGTCTGCTGGTTGTCATGCTCCGTACCAACACAGAAGTTCCAGGTATTCCTGGAAAATAGGTTTATGAGGCACTTAGCACTCATCTTTACTGAATATGAGGCATATGTGAAGGTTGATAAAAAGGGGAATGACAAAAAGTAGTGGTGCTGGAGTTACTCAGTATACAGCAGGATTTCTGGTTGGGACTCAGTGTTCTGGTCACTTTTTCTCCTAGAAGATATAGAAGATAGAAGGCTAGAGAAAAAAATAACAGAGGAGTTGTGAAGGCTTCTGCAAGTAAAGAACAGAGATGTTGAGGACATGAAGAGAAAACATATGAAAAAAACCCACTAATAAAAACACCCAAACTAATGGATGGGTTGGAGATAAAGTAGGACTTTGTGTAATACAAAACCAAAGATATTTCTATAGCTCTTTATCACAAAAGTTCTCCTCAACTCTGTAAGACTCAAACAATAGTTAGATGTTAAGATACTCAGACGCAGAAATGTTTGAGAATGAATACTGAGATTGATTTTGCTTAAAATATGTTTTAATTCAGGCCCATAATGGGGAAAACCCACAAGTAGTTACACAGGGTTGTGGAATAGAAAGCATGATGTTTCAGACATAAACAAGCCTTTTAGTTGCTGGACTTGTGGGGGAAATAACTTGCTGTCTTCTTCTCAGATTACTCTTTTAGTCTCCAGCTTTATAAATACTCGATTTTTGCATCCATTGATGGTTCCACTGGATTCCCCTTACTTTTGCACCTTGCTTGTGTGATTAGTTGCAAAGGCTGTTTTTCCAGCATGAGCTGGGAATTCATATCATGACATGAATTCCTGGTAGTGTTCTCAAGGGCAGCATTGTCCTGGGAGGACAGCAGTGGCAGTTCCTGCATTCCTTCAACTGGCAGCTAGATTTTAAGTGATGCCATTGGGGACTGTTATGTTCATAGCAACATGCACTTAATTCATTTATAACCCAGAATGAAGATAATGACTGATGAAGGAATTATTCCAGCACTACTGAAGTTGCATTTTCAACTGAAAAAATAATAAAATGAGGGGCTCAGGCACATAGAAACACCTGAGCAGCTCTCCAGGACAGCACCATGTGTGTGGAGAGATATATATAGATAGATAGATAGATAGATAGATAGATAGATAGATAGATAGATAGATAGATAGATATAAAAATATATGGATATATGTATACATAGATATATCCTGTTAGTTACCTTGAAAGACACAGTCTGCAATGTATAGATTGACATGTGTGACTTTTTTCTTTATCAGGCAAGGCAGAGGATTTAAAGATTCCCTCCATCCTCTTTCAACACTGTCTTTCAAATACAAGCTCAAGTTGCAAACAGTTTCTGCTCTTCTTTTAATTCATTATTATAAAAATACTCCTCAAAGGCTTTCAGATACATTTCAAAGCTATAGAAGAACGTTACAGTGCCCGAAGGAAAGATAACCAGCTGTTGGTATGATGATTGGTTAATTAAGTGAAAACTAACATTAGCATATTTAACTTCATTACAGAAACATATATGTGTATGAAATCTTAGCTAAATATCTTTTCTGAACAGCATATAATCTGGAAAATATTATTTTGGAATTTTTTATGCTTTCAATTTTTAATCCATAGCTATTTTGACTTATAAACAGTTATTGGTGCAAATTTGAACAATTCAGGTGACTTTTTACAGCCTTTTTGCTTCAGTAAGAAAAGTTGTCTATGGATAGTTTCTAAAGCACCAGAAGTATTTACCTATGCATATTTTATTAACTTTCAGAGATACCTTCTAAATAATTCTTCAAAAATCAACCTACATGGTCATAGAAGCCATTCTGACACTTCCTCAGGACCAGAGCAAAAAAGCCAAGATGTACATTCTCATTCTATTTCCCTGTAACCTGATGGTCATGATGATAAATACCTTTTCCTCCACCACAAGCTGATTTTAAATGGAAAATAACTAAGAAGTGTAGGGGGGTTTTAATGCATTTCTTGTATAAATCCACAATGAGTCATGTTACACATTACAGCAAGCAATCTTACGGAATGGTTTCTCAGAACCATAGTACACATCATCTCTTTTGGGGATCAAGAATGAGCTGTATTCTGCCTCCCTCATATTGCCACTGCTTGTGGGGGTGGAAACGTCCCTTGTTAGTGACACAGCCTTGACAGCACTGCCTTCCAGAAGGGGCATGATGAGGACAGGATCACACCTACCTAGACAACAACATCATCAGGCAGAATCTGCCTGTTATGGATCAGTCTTGCATCTGCTTCACTGCACCTGTAGGTACATCACTGATCTCTGGTGCTGAATAAGGCAACAGCTTTACAGTGACCTGTCTCTGCAAATGTTGCTTTTAGTGGGATGTCCCCACAAACTCTTCCTTACCTTTACATTTCAAAGGCCCAATTTTCAGACCTACTGAACAGCAGAAGGTGAAATGAAAAGTGAATGCCTAATAGGTCTTTGGGTACCACTAGTGTATGTGCTTACAGCTGGGGACAGAAGTAGGATCAAGAAGAGAAATTTGTAGGATCAAACACTCCATTCAAAGCTCAGTTCAACAGGATGTAAAACATAACTTTCCAGTAAAATGAACACAGCTAACATCAGGTCAGCAAAAACAAGTTCCTTGTAGCCCCATAATGCCACCCTAAGTGTAAAAATAATAAAGGGGTTTATTACAGAAAGATAACCTGATTGTCTGCAGGCAGCGATATTCCCTGAGAGGCTAGAAAATAACAGTTCAGGAGTGACTGTGTGTTGAATTAAATCCTGAAACCCTCTTAAATGTCCAGGTCTCTTCTGCAACCGAACATGGGATGGCTGGTTGTGCTGGGATGATACACCTGCTGGAAGGATCACTGCTCAGAATTGTCCGGATTATTTTCCAGACTTTGATCCAACTGGTACAGTATTTCTTTTTATCATTTTATCTTTTGAAGGCTGTCTTCAGAACATTCATGCCATTGACAGGATGCATGTTTGCAGTGACATTTTTGCAGCACTGTGAAATCTCAGGGTATTTTGGTTGAAATTAAAACATATCAAGATTTTGGGTTACGTAATTTATATATTTTCATTTGTAAAATAGGTTATATGTATTTATGTAAATATAATATAAACCATGGGTTTATGAAACCTGGTTTATGAAAATGTCAACTTCTGAGTTATAATATCAAAATATTCTTAGCACCTCATTCTAAGTTTTTATAATGAAGAGAAAATGCTTATGTGCATGAAGTATGTGTCAGCATGTTCTTTGTTCAATTTTTATTGGAAAGTATCATTTTATAGAAGAAGATAAGCGGAATAACATTCTTTCAGTCTCTGAGTTTCAGTTGTTAATTGAATTCTTTGTGCAAATACTAGCAACCATGCTGACTGAGAGAAGTAATTCAAGAACGTTTAAAAGGAAAATGAAAGGAAAAATTGAGGCTAGAAGTATTGCAAAATAGATACGAGGAGATATGAGACACAAATTTAACTCCGATTTGAAGAGAGTTGTGTGTTCCATGCTCAGGACATGTTGCTTATAGGCAGTGCTTGATGCCGCAGTGTGCTAAATTCCACATAGTCAAAATGCACCAATTGCAGTTAAAACCTATGAAATTAAACATTTGGGAAGGAGGGCATATAAATCTAAAAATTTTCAACAACCTTAAGCCAAAATGTATGTACCAAACTGGAAATAAGGGAAACAGACCATTGCATCTCTGTGAGTTAATTACCAAGTACCATTATCGAAAACTGTTGATCTTCTCGAGCTTATTGCCTATTTAGAAACAGTAGTTTCCAGGTTGGATTGAACCCCATATGGATTTGGCTGAAGCCCATTTGCAGTAGCAGCCAGATTGATCTGTATTTCTGTTTTTCATAAATGAAGCTGTCCATGATTAGAGAATTCACACAGCAAGTGAGACACTTCCAGTGTCAGACCCAGTCTGAGGGGATTCAAAATTACATTCCATCTTTGCTGGAGGAATGTCTCTCTTTCCAGTGGAATTAGGCCTTGGACGGGATGGACTTAAGGAAGTCTGTGTGCTCAGGATTTCTGTGCTTGGAAAGTGAGCTCATGTGGCAGGGTGATTGTCCACTTCTTGTGGGAATATCCTTAGACCAGTTCCACAAAGTCTTTACGGCAGCTTACATTCCTGAGACAGGCAACGGGCACCAAATCACAAGGTCTTCTCTTCTGTGCCCTTTTTTTGCTTTCTGACACACAAGTCTTGACCTCTTTTCTATACAGTGTCATAGTTTTCAAAGAGGAGTCTTGCAGGAAGGTCATGCTCACGGCTTATTATTGAAGCACCCTGGGGACACAGGATAAGGAGCTGAGACCCTCAGCTGGAGAATTGACTATCACTCAGGTCTCCCTTTCTGTGGACAAGTGCTTCAACCATTAGACTATTTTCACAAAGCATTCCAAAAGACCCTTTTATGAATAGAAAAATTTACCAGAAGGCTTCTACTTTCCCTGTTTCCATGGGTTTTATAGAAATAAAAAAAAACCCACCACACATGGCACTAACAGTCACTAACATGTATACTCCAGGCAAAGCTCAGCTCATACCTGCAAAGGTGGGTGTTGGGCAGCCCTGTGACCACAGAATTTTCCCCACTACTCAAGGGCTCCATACCTCATGGATGGGGATGATTACAGAGCCACTCTTTTGCTCATTCCCAAACCACCTATTCTCAGCTTTTCCACTTGTCTGTTTGTCTCCAATGACTTGTTCTGAACTAATTGCTCCACTCTTCAAAGTAGCACTTGAAGCCATCCATAGAGAAGCATCTCACTCCACTTACTAATGCTTATTAGCACCAAGGCCTGTGGCTCATACGACTGATTGCAAATCACTCCTTAATGTGCAGATGTCTGTCACAGAGTTTGGCCCACAGTGTGTGTGTACTACTTACTCACTCTGGTATGCTTTAAAAGTTGAGATTTAGGAATTTTTTTGTATTCCTTTTCTCTGTACAGACCCATAGGAGGACCCATTACTGTTCCAGTAACTAATTTCCTACTGTTCCCACTGTTCTCTGTGCTGTCCTCCTAAAGAACCTTGCCTGTGGTCTTCTGGCCCCAGTATTTTTCTCTGGTACATCTCTTTTCTCCTTGTCGGCACCTCTGTCACCCTCTTTGCCTGCATCCTGGTCAGTCACCTGGCTGTATCCTGGTCAGTCAACCCTGTTTCCGTGGCTTGGCAGCAGCCCAGCATCTCCTGGTTGAGCCAAAGCTGCTTTTCTAGAATAGCTGTTGAGTAACCCAGTATGTGGTACAGCTATGGCATCAAACCAGTGGGTAGTCAGACTTTGCTTTACAGGTGGCTGGTTGTTACATGGGGACTTGATAAAGTAGGAGGGAGACTCAGGGAAGTCAGAAATCAGGGGGGTGTCTACAAGTCTATCAACTGCAAATAGAAGTGGCTGCCACATACAGGTGGCCAAAAGCTCAGACTGAGCTGTCCTGAGAAGTCTGTCAGATTTTGTGTCACAAGTCATTATTTACTTTGGTAACTTATTCCTGTTAAAGAAAATACCGTTGGATTTTCCACTGAGAAACAGAAAATTCATCCTGAAGAATAACATTTTTGCATGATGAAAACTGTAGTGACTGTCAGGTTTCCCCCCCCCACTGAGTTTCTGATATGCAACAACCTCAGCATATATTTTAGGCATATAAGTAACCCCATGGATTTCTGAAACAAGTATTTCATACTGTGCTGCTTTGGCCAGCACCAAGATCAGCAGAACCACTGCCTATCAGCATACTGATGGCTAAGTCACTTCATTAGAGGTCATGTATAGCTTTTAGTCCTGGAATAAAATTATGTCTTTCAGATATATTTTCTGTTTTGATACTTATGTCATTTGTAACTGGAAAAGTGAAACATTACTGGCAGCATAGTAGGGAATCCTCCTCCCATCTTCATCTGTGGGTCCCATATACCAACTCTCTATATTTGATCCCCAACCGTATTCAGCGTTGATGCCAAGAGGAAACCGCTACGGTATGTTAGAAAGTGAACGAGGTGAAATCATATTCTGAAGAAAAGAATGCAGAAACAAAACAAAGGGGAACATGCTCAGTGCTCTCTTCATTTTGTGTCTGACAACTTCACAGTTAGCTACTCCACTTATTACACTGAATTTAGATCTGTTCTTGCTGGATAGGAATCTGTGTTCTGAAAGAAGCAATCTCCTTCTTGCGGTGCACATCATGCACAACGTGATAATGCATAAAAACAAATCAATTTGTCTGGAAAACATAACAAGGCCTACTGCTTTCATGCCAGTGACAGCAGGAAATTCATTGTCTAATCCACTCCTGGCTGTGAAGCTCTGAGCAGGGCTGTTTTATATGCCCCTATTCAGGCAATACGCACAGTTTATCTTGAATTGTATTTTATATTCATATTTTAGACAGGTTAATCTTTGGTGTAATCCCTCTGAAATGGTTCCAGGTCACACAGAAATTGGAAGGAGTTGAGTTTCATGGGAAAGTAGTAATTCATGCTGCCAGTGTTCTTACTAATGGACAAAGGGAAAATACGATGTGGATATAATGGCCTTCAAGCAAGACAGGTTTACCAGGGGCAACAGGAGCTGAGCATTGCCCTGTGCCATCTGTGGGTTGTTAGGTTTGTGGCTGGGGAGTGTTATATTGCCCACCCCTCTGTCCCTACACAGTGCATTTAGTTAGGATTAGTTTGGTGCAGTCACATACCAATAGAGCTGGATGTGCAAGTTTTGTTGTGGCAGATGCACCTTTTCATTTCACTTTCACTCCCTTTATTCTTTGGCTAAGAGCAGTGGTTAAGAGCAGTAGCCTTTGTGAGACAAAGCTGCATGGGGCAAAACTCCCCTCAGTTCTCCACTCATTTGTGTTTCTCTCTTTAGTTCTCTTTTGTGAACTATTACTCATAACTCTTCATGAAGCTCCAGGAGCAGAGTTTCTAGAAGTGTAGTTTGGAAACAGATCCATAAATATCCATAAACAATTACTCAGATGATGATTAATATGTTGTTACCTCTCACAATCGAGGAAGATGGAAGTGATATAACTTAGATAACTATAGATAAGACAAATCTGAGCAACTCTTTGTCCAGCTGCTTCTTTTCTCCTTACCCTTCTGTGTCTTTCTGTCCTGCTTCTTAGCAAGTTTGACAGCTGTATTTTAAAAATCAATTCTTATCCCCACAGTGTACAATATGATTATTTTATACTGATTCTGGTTCTGCTGACTAAGACACTCTGAAGACAGTGATAACTAGTCACTTATTAGGACACTGGAATTGAAGTTTTCTGGGTTCTCCATTGCATTATAAGGGATGATTTCTTTATTTATGAAAAAATTTCTTCCAGAATGTTTTACTGAGTATGTAAATCAGATGTGCTACATCAACTATTCCCTCATCTGCAAAACTAAGCACTGCACAAGTCTATCTGAACAATGGCAAAGAATCCAATGTCTGGTATGTGCTGAGCAAGCACTGCAGCAGTGCATAACTTTGTTCTACTTCCAACTTATAACTCAGCAATAAATAAAGAACAGATGTTTTAATGTGCTAGCTATAGAGCTGGTGTAATTGTAAAAAGCCTGATTGATAGAGCTATTATGTGGTTCTAGAGTTATTAAGATATTTGTTACATATGAATTACTGAGGGCTTTTTATGAAAACAGGATTCATAAAAGCACTATTAGTGGCACAAACAATGTACACACAAAATTACTGCAGCTGATTGATCTTTTGAGACACTTCACTGCTCCCACGAAACTAACCTTGTGGACAGTATTTCTCTCATCATGGTTTTTCCCAGACAGCTCTGGAAGTGTCTTCTTTCTAAGCAGATTGCAGAGATACTGCACAACTGCCTATGAATTACATAACTTTTGGGTTGCTAAAATCAGGTGACATGAATCCCACACAATGTCACTGTTCTTCTGCTTTGAGTAACGATGCTTGGATAGTGGTGCCCTATTCAAGCTGATAGGGCACAGACAAAGCCTAAAAAATTGGGTTTTGCATAGTATTTTAATAATCTTAAAGCCCACACTTCCATTTTATCTTGCTAGTGTTGTCTTACCCTTCCTTGTACATGTGTATTTCTTCAGACTTTACCATATTCTTCTGGTTAGCATAAAAAAGCATCAAGTGTCCAGGTTCATAATCCCCACCTGCTACTGGCCCACTGTATAATAAATTGGAGTAGAACAGTGGCTGAGTTGCAGGCTCGCAGCCTTGTTTCTGTGTAAAAGAATAGGTTTAGAAGAGATGTTTGAGGTGTTTGAGTCACTGGGATGGACAGTAAGGAGGGCTTATCCCCCAGTTCTGTATTCTGACACCAGAACAAGAAATCTGAGGGACATTGATACTTTCAGATTAGGATCAGTTGTGTTTATCTGACTTCAAGAAAAAGTATGAGACTAAAGGTTTGTCTCTAAGTTACAGAGGCCACATTAAACTCTGTCAGAGTGCCTAGCTAGGCACTGAAGTACAGAGATGATGGATGACATTGCCATAAATACTCTGTAGCATGTTAACAAGCAGAGTGCATGGGATAGTAGGTGCAATGTTTGCACACTGTGTTCCATGGGAGCATAACCATTAATCTTTTATCTGTGACTGAAAACTTTTTCCAGCTTTTGATAGTATCTGGCAAAGAGTACAAAGGGAACATTGCTACACAGGCACTCTGAGATTATCTCCAAGCCGCAACGATGGAAGGCTCAGATAACATGTAATATTCCTCTTGGTATTGTTGATGCATGTATTGATTTTTAATAAGTTCCTCAAAACAACCATTTGAAACCAACAACGATTTCAAAAATACGCTGTGTTCTGGAGAATTGTCTTTTTTTTCTGCAACAGTACTATAGAAGGTGTATTTCTAGTCAGAGTAAGAGTAAGCTCAGTCTACACAATCCCTATCTTGCCCATATGATCAGTTCCTTTCTTTAGGTTGTGTAGAGGGAATACAAATCTTCCAAATTAATAGAACTATTAGTCATCAGGTGAAGAAAAATAAGTGGCAAAGTTGACCACAAAAAAATGAAAATGTGTATGTTCAAATGGTAAGTGGCTCTGTAAAAGTGGAAATACTTGCTAGTGTTGAAATTATAGAGGTAGAGTAGGCAAAGGAAAGTCAAGGTAGACTTTTTTGGTTGTTTTAAAAGCCAGACTTGAAAAAAACATTTTTCATAAATGTCTGTGTCACTATCTAAGAAAATATAAAATAATTTAAGTTTATGATCTTATTCTGCCTTTGTTACTTGGGCGAACCTTCCAGTGACTCCCATTTGGCTAATGCTTGAGGGAAGGACAGAGGAACCAGTCCAAAACTTGACAAGTGATTACAAGTGACATCCACTCCTCAGCATCTGAGGTTTCCCCAGCAGGAATGTGAGCATGGCTGGGAGGACACATACACAGCACACATCAACCCTGAGGTTGCTTTAGCTTCCCTAAACAGCTTTCAACAGCCTCTTTAAAGGGATTATTATCACATAAATAATTGCATTTGAATGAAGGCTTAGATATATACTCATTCAAGGCAAAAGGAGACAGATGAACAACAAGTGTACCATCAGATAAATCTCAGAAAAAAACCCAAAACAACAAACCATCAAGATGTGTATTAATTGCACAGGCTGAAAACTTTTGGATTTCGTTACACAGACATTTTATTTCCAAATAAAGTAATTCCTTTATTAATAGACTTTTAAATGCATAATATGCATATGTTAAAATAACTATTACTGCAATTTTTCATCAGAGAGGGCTTCAAAATATTGTGATGAAACTGGAAACTGGTTCCGCCATCCTGAGAGCAACCGAACTTGGTCCAATTACACCCTGTGCAACTCTTTCACCTCTGAAAAACTGAAGGTATGATAAAGTTAAAGAGGCAGTGGTTGTTTGGCAGTGGTTTGGGGCTGGGCTAGCAGTAAGACATGGCACAGAACAGAACAACCCTATTTTTCATTTTTATTTGTTGCACAAGATTTGAATATCATTGTTCTTGTGGTTTTAGGTGACTACATTTTTTTGATGAGTGATCAAATCTAAATATAGGTTTGCTATGGGTTGCATCATTTAATAGCAATTAATTTGACAAGTTTTGCATTATTTTTCAACTGCATTTTAATTCTATGATTTTCCCTAATTGTCCAACAGTTATAAAATAATCTTTTAGAATCCCAATTTTGCTTTCTGTAACAATAATATTCTAAGCTGTTGATACCTTATCTCCAGGGCTGGTAATATTAATGTAAGTTAGAAGTATTTTTCTTTAGCAAAGAATATCACCCTGTACTCACTCTCTTTGGAAATAAACATTTATGAGGGTACCATTAATCCAGAAAAACCTACAAGCGTGAACACATTTAACTTTGGTGGTTTCAGGGAAGTCAATGAGACTATTTACAATAAGGAATTAAGCATTTACATCAATATTTCCAAGATTGAGTTGCTAAGCTGAAAGAGAAGAACTAAATATATGAGAACCAAAAGAAATCAAGGGAGAGAAATCTGAGAAAAGCTTAAAAAAAAAATCAAGTTAGGGAAACTCATGAAAATAAACATATTTCTCAAATATGAGTGGAGCTCCAGGAAAATCTGATTATGGATTTGTGACAGAATAATTTGTGATTATTTGGAATCATGGAAGGAAAAGATTCAAGAAGTGATTTGATTTGGGATTTGTGTTGGAGGACCTTTTTTTATGCAGCCAAAAAGCAGTATGTGGTTATATTTAGTAATGATCCAAAGAGCCTTGGAAAAGTCTACTGGACTAGGCAGGACATGAATTCTAAAGGCTTTTGCAGCATAAGGAGACATCACGATAAAATGGGGCTCACCTATGTGACAAGGAGAGAATAATAGTAACAAAATGAGCTCACAGAGGCATTAAATGGAAGCACCATAAAAATATAATTTTTCCAGATGTTGGCACATGTAAGGAGACAAAAAATTTAGTTCTGTTACCTATTATCCATGCCTTCCAGAAGAACAATTTTGAACATCATTCAAGCAAAGAGCAGATAGAACAGAAAGGAAAATTATACGCACATCATGATTTTTCTGAAATGAAAAAGGACGGAAAATGCAGAAAGAATTTATCTCCACAGAAATGCCAAGTTAGATTATGACCTTTAATACAAATCTTCAAGAAACAGGAGTGCACTTCATTTGTAGACTATTTCTACATACCTATAAATACAATAAAACAGCATGAAAAATCTGAATAAACTAAACATTTGGTGAGTCAGTATGTTATAAGTCCTGTGTGTCAGAAGGGACATGACAGGTTGCTAGTTCAAGGAGTGCAAAATTAGTAAAATAGGTCATTATTTGTTTGAAGTTAACTGAGAATAACAACATGGTATACTTTTGAGATAGCTTATTAAAAAAAAAAATAGTCACTTTTTAAAAATGCAATGTTAGACCATATACTTTGTTAGCTGACAGTTTAGTCCATTCTAATCTGTCATCATTGTTATATATGAAAGCTTTTTCAAGCAGTTGCATTTTCAAGTAAGTTTGCATGGAGTAATCAAAAATGCACTTCTGGGTCCCAGATACCCAGTTGATTTAGTAGTTCTAAGCTGAAAGTTAGATAAAAACCAAGAGTCCTCTGGGGTGACATAGAACTGCACGTAGCTATCTGGAGGTCTTTCCTACTTCTAACTTTGTCAGGCTAAGCCTTGTACACAGGATAGGCACGAAAACAGTACTTTTGAACAGGTCATCTGTAGATTAAATTCAGACTTTAAGAATATGTCCATTCAGTGTCATGGAAAAACACAGCAACCATACAGTATGTAGCGGAAGAAATGTCACATGCACACAGGTAAAAACCTCTCCCGCTACTCCATATTCAGAAAGTTGTCTCATCTTCTCTGCACTCAGGTCTGCCCTCTCTGGGATTGTTGGTGCTCTCAGAATAAGTTGTCAAGCATTTGCACTCACTAGCAATGTAGTGGCTAGGCTTTGTGAAGAAAGACTAGGAGACCTAGGGTATTTACAGTTAATATGCATAGTTCTCCGTAACTTGGTGAATGGTATTTACATTCAGATCATGTCAATTCTACGTGGTCAGATCAGTGTAAGTGTGACTTTGGTTTAAATCTGACTCAGGCCACCACCACCTAAGTTAATGAAAGTCGAAGCTTATTCCAAAGTTGTAAAATGACTGAAGACCAAACTGTGTAAGAAGATGTGCACCTTTACTAGGAGGAATGGCTTCATTTTCTGAATTGTGTTCATATTTTTTCTCAAGGGAAGGTTTAAAATTACTTGGAAACACCAAAAAAAAGTGACTAGCAAACCTTAGGGCTGAATTGCTGAAAGCAATTCCTCTAATCACTGAAAAGAGGGAAAATGCTCATGCATAGCAAAAGAAAAACAAATAAAGTAGAGCTGAAAAAAAAAGATAAACTCAGCAGAGGAACTGAGTCCCTCACTGTTAGCTGGAAGACCTAAGTAATACCTGGAAACTTAGAGGTTTCTCTGCATCAGGTCACTGATGAATATGTTGAATAAAAATCCAGCCCTAACAGGAGTCCTGAGGACAGTTAACTACTGACTCACCTCTAAAAAGTGACCATTAAGTTTTTGATCCCTGTTGTTTAAGTTGCTTTCAACCCATAAAAGCTTTCTACCAATCCTGCAGCAAGGTATTTTCTTTAATAGCTTTTTTTGCAATACTTGTCCAGGGCATAGTGGAAATCTGAATGTATTATGTCTGCTGTGGTCTTCTAGAGCTTGGAAAGTCAGTGACACACAGTATGACACCAGTTCCCGCAGTGTAACAGGAACAGATCAGCACATGTAAGAAGTACTTATCATTAGACTGTGAGTTCTTCTATTAAATAGATTGCTGACATTAACAATCTATAGGAAAACAATGTTTGAAAGAAAAATGCAGAATGGGAGGTTGACTTTTTAGATTCGTCCTTAATGAGAAAAAAACACTAAGTGCCTGCAAATTGTTGATGTTTGCCTTTTTGTTTTTGTTAAATTGCAGATGGCGTTCATACTTTATTATATGGCGATCGTTGGCCATGCTTTGTCTATAACATCCCTGTTGATTTCCTTGGCAATTTTCTTCTATTTCAAGTAAGTGTTTCTTGCAGACGCTCTCTCTTCTTTCCTGAGGATTATCAAGTGGTAAGCAAAGAAATGCTTGGAAGGGGACATGGCAGTGAGTGGTAGCTCTTCTGAGAGCCTTTTTATATAATCCTGGTAAAGAAGGGTCTTCTTCTCTCCAATGGGACATCTCCCAGTGTTGTGTAGCCAAGATCATACTGTTACATTTGTGAAGACTGGTGTAAAAGTGCAGCCCATAGGGAAATGGTGTTACTGGGGATGCAGTGAGGCCTTTCATTTACTTGTTGACTGTTGTTCCTTGAAGATCATGTCCAGACCTAGTCAGGTGCAGTGACTGCACAGGGCAGTGGCTTGGAGCCCCAAGCTCCAGAAGAAGAGGAATACCTCCATATGACACTGAAGAACTAAGCTATTGACCTGAGTGAGTTCTTACAGGACTCAGCCCTAAGAGTGAATCTGACAGTACTGTGCAGCCTGTCATCATCATTGAAAGGAAAAACAGTGATGTGCTGTATCAGAACTTTAAAAGAGACTAAACTGATACTCAGTGAAAGCATCGCAGCTACTCTATGGCATCTTAACTAGAGCATTTAAATCTTGTTCTTTGGTGAACCTGTCTGCTGTCAATTAGATGTCTGTGCCTCAGCTGTCAGACAGGAAGGGTTGTAAAAGATCAAGCTCCCAACAACACCACCACCAAGAATAAGTCTAGAAAACATAGGAAAATTAAATGGTTGGACTTTTCATAGACTATAAGAGTCTGTAAAATTGCAAATTCAAAACAGGTGGATCCAAAATACAGGTTGTAATTTCTGGTAATTTCCAGAGAGGCGATTTTATGAGTACCTGTGATAAGATGCCTTAATCAGATACAGAGGTAGCAAGAAACTCTGCCCAATGAACTGATGAATTCTCTTCCCGACTAAGTAGATAAAGAGCACAAAACCATAGCTTTGAGGAAACTGCAAAGAGCACAGTTTAATAAAATTTGGAACCCTATAACCTCACTTGAGTACTTTGGGACAGTAAAGACAGGATCTGGCCAAATAAGGTGCCCTAAATGGACCAGAAAGGTGATTCCTTGGGGCAAATGAGGCAGGGTCAGCCTGTCTGACTCACTCTTATCTCTGAGTCATGGACAACGCAAGATCCTGATGAGTCCCGGGCTGCACGGAAAGACTAGTCTTTGCAGCAGCCTTCCAGACAGTAACACACCTCCTGCTCTCTTCCCTCCTTCACTTCTCCTTCCCCTCCCATGACTAATCCATGACACAAAGGTTAGAGGAAGAAGTAGAGGAAGGAATTAAAACAAAGTGCTTCAAAATGAGAGACGAAGAGGAGACCAAACTACAATCATAAGAAAGTCAGAATGAAGCTGTATGGGAGCAGGGCTCATGTTACCTTCAGCTGTTTTCCATCATCTAGCTATGACAGCAGTAGATTATTTGACCTTCAATAGAAGGGAAACTGTCAATCTGACAGTCAATCAGATAGGAAGAGATGATTTCAGGACTGTATAATAACCTTTGCCTGTAAAGGCAGCAGCTTGCAGGGATTGCTGTTTCTCTGGCAGAGATTTATTTTCATTTCAGTTTGGGGCATCAAGATTCGTAGCGATCTGTCATCACAGATGTTGCAATACTTTCAGAAGGCAATACTGAAGCAGCAGTGATGAACATCACTAAGCAATACTGACTCATAAAAGGAGACAGAGTATTCATAAAATAGAGTGTCTAATAGCTACATGAATCATCACGTTATTGCAATATTTCTGTAATTGCAAACTGAGACCCCATTATGTTATTTGATAAAACACAAAAGAGGGACTCCTAGCTCCAAATCACTTCCAATTGAATTATTAAAGACATTTGTACAAAGACAGAGGGGGAATACAGTAAGTCTAGATTTGCCAGAATAATAAATGGTGTGTTATGAATACACCTGCAGTTAATTGTTGCCAAGGCTTTTGGAAGAAGTTGAAGAAGGATAATGGGTTGAAGGATAATCTGTGGAAATTTGTTGGGAGTTTTCACCAGGGGTAAGGGAGAATATGGTACAAAGCATGAAAATAATTTGAAAACTAAACAAGGGTGTAGAATATGGAAAAGAAGTGGCTGGGGTGAAAATTGGTATTCTCAGTATTCATGAATGAGAAGAAATTAAAGATTCACAGGACAATTCTATGAAGAAAAGTCAAAATATCTTAGTTGCAATAGAGAATTGGAGATAGGAACTCAAAAGTAAGGGTGACTGGAAGTAGGTAAGAGAACCTATCTCTGTCAAAGGACATGTAGGAGACAGAATCAATGTGAAACAAAGGGAAGCCATGAAAAACATAGGAGACTCTGAAATTCTAAAGAGACAATAGATAGAAGCATAGAGACACAAAAAACTCATGAGTTTTAGGCATAGATAACTGGCTTAGTTGTGCCTTCTTGCTTAATGTGAAAGTTGTGCCTTCTTACTGATTAATGAAACAGAGATGGGAGCATACAGAAAGATGGTGGAGGCTGTGCCAAGGAGCCTTCAAAAACGCCACAAAGGAATGATTAAGAACAGGAAGAGAGCCAGGAAGAGAATTAGGAGAAGTCAGAAGGAGGAGACTGCAGATGATTGTCAAAATCAGCAGAAAGGATGAATGAAGTAAGGGTTTTGGTTCTGCTAAAATGTTCTCCTGTTGATGGCGACTGAGGCAGGCAGGTGCTGATGCCATTATGATGGCAAACACTGAAGGTCAAATTAGAAAGTGAGGGTATGGAAACATACATTTAATAATGCAGATGTGTTTTTAACATGAAAGCTGGCATCAAGAAAAAAATAACAGGGAATACTGAGAGGAAAGGAGGAAAGGGCAAAACTAAGAGAGGAAGCCAGGAAGGGAAAGGAGGTTGGAGAGTAGACCATGGTAACATGCAGAGATGGACAGTCTGATTTAATATAGAAATAAGACTACCAGAAGTCAAGCAGAGCAAAGAGGAAGGACAGGAATGAAAGTGGAGACACATGGACCTGGCTGAGATTATCACAAAAGACTGTCTGTATCTGTAGCCATGTAGAAAGGCAGCTGGGAAGACAAGGGTGTGCATGTCTGTGGCCAGGAGCTGGAGAGACTGCTACCAGTAACAGGGAAATTTTTGTTTCTTGGGAAAGGGATTGATGTCACACCAATCCTGTTCTCAGGGCTGCCAAAGAAAAGCAAGCAGTGATGACCATGTCATAGTGTCCCAAGATTAAGTAGCATAGGCAAAGTGTAGTGATGGAGAATGGGGAGCAAGACTCAGGACTGGATAAATTTCACCAGAGCCTTGGAGCAGAAAAGGAACGTCAGACTATATTTGTGATAAGGGCAAGTATAGGTGGAGTAAGCACAAGAGCATAGTATAGCAAAAAATAGCTCCAAATAGTAGTGTTTTGCACAATATCCTGTTCTACAGTGAACCAAACTGAAAGTGCACCTGGCCCCATATCTGGTGCCCAACGTTTGCCATTAGCTGATGCTAACAGAAGACCATAAAATCAGGGCAAGTGCAAAGAGATACTCTCATTCCTATCCACCAGGACCTGCATCTCATGGACATCCTGAACCAAAAAAAAAGTGTCTTGGTAAATAAGGAGGTCAAGAAACATGGTGAACATTGCAGGATGATCATAACCATAACCAGAAAGACAACATATAGCTAAAGGAACATTTCCATGTAATGACTCAGAAAATAGGTGTAAGGAGAATGAAGAATAAGTGGCAGGTAAACAAGGAGCTAAAAAAGGAAAATAACTAAGTAAACAAGCAAATAAGCAGAAAAGGGTTCAGTTGATTAGATTAATGCTCTGTTTTAAAAGAAAGTGCATTCTGCATTGACCTCCATGTGCAGAGCATCAGAAAGTTACAGCCTGTGTTCCATGCCAGACTGCAAAAGACTGCGAAAGACTCCTAGTTATGAGTGGGAAGCTTGCCTTAGCAAGATCAGCAGTACTTCTGTTTTTCACCTAGCAGTTTTGCCTGCTTGCTCTCAGTGATCACTGAATACAGACATCACAGCATTATCTAACAGCTCTGTGATTGCCTCTGCAATCACCATCTGTCAGCCTGGCACTGCGCTCTGGGGCATGGAGCACTGCAGGGGCCACCTTCTCTGCCTCAGGGGCATCTGAGGAGGTGACATGAGGATTTGGGCATGAATTAGAAAGGGAGATAATTCAGGACTGAAACTGCAGTCATGATTTTGTTTCACAAGAATTCTGCAAAATTCTCTTGTGAAATTCTGCTACCCACAACAGCATAAATCCTATCCTCCCTATAATCAGTCATTTCAAAAGATTTCTGCTCCTTCTGAGCAGGAAAACAACCTCCTTTGGTTTGAGATCTCAGCTGGAGTTAGAAACATGCAGGATATCAACCCAAATCCCCCTGTAATTTAAGGAGATTCCTGCCCAAATTTCCCATCCTGTCTCACCACTAATTCCTGAAGTAGAAAATAATTTTCATCTGAGTCTTTGAGAAATTGAGTCTCCAGGGAACAGTTACTTATAAAGCAGTATTTCTGATGTTCATTACTTGTATCATGCGCATCTAATAATTCTCAGGGTTCTGCTTCACTGCTTAATAACTTGATTACCATAAATAAAGAAAGGCTGAGAACGTATCTGGATAGCTCTTTACAACATGGTCTGAAAAGCATGTGGTGCTAAACAGGTGTAAAAACAAACCCCAAAATTTGTCAGAGGTTATGGTTGCAATGCAAGGCATGTATTTTCCAATTATGCCTTGCCAAAATGCATTCTTGAGAGACTGTTGCCAGAAAGAGCTTGTTAAAGTGACATCAGAAGAAAAATACTAATTTACGACATGTGCTACATATTTTTCAGGAGCCTCAGCTGTCAAAGGATAACGCTGCATAAGAATTTGTTTTTTTCATATGTGCTGAACTCCATGTTTACAATTGCCCACCTCATTGCTGTTGTCCCTAACCCAGGCCTTGTAAAAAGGGATCCTGTAAGTATTGCATGACTCCTCTCTGTCTTGATACCCAAGTAAAATCACTGTGGCCATGCCGAAACAAAGAATCCCCATTCATCATTTAACAAAACATTCATGGAGGGTGCTCATTCTGAGAATTTCACTCAACCTTCCTCAGACTCTTTCATCAAGCAATAAAAATCTTTGAATCTGGTACAAGACCCAAACTTGCTCCAGCCAGCCCATCCATACAAATATGTGTCAAATCCCCACTGCTCTCAGCAGTAACTACCTGATGCTTCCCAACAAAGCCCCTGAAGGGAGAGATGCCCTTAGTGACAGGCACACATGCTGTGGAGGGACAGGATAGAGAGAGATAGGGCTTTTTTCAAAATAACACATATAAAGATCTGTTTGCTGCATTTTTTTTTCTTGGGAGGTGGTAAATCAAAACATTAGTTTCCTTCACTGCACTTAGGTAGTGATACAAATTATGCCATCCCCTCTGATAAATATTCCAGCTGATAAATATGTATGGCAGATCTCAGTCACCCAGCTCTGATCTTGCTCCCTAACACAGCAATCACATTGTGCTCACTGTCCTTACAGCAGCCCCAGCCAATGTGAAATTAGAGCAAACATGGGAATCTCGAGTTTCATTTTAACACTGATCAGCTTGTCTTCTAATAAGCTCGTTCAATTATGATTCAATCATTTATTCTCTTCTAGTCTCATGAAAGCAATTAAACATTAGCACCTGATACTATCCGACTCGTGTGTGTGTCTCTCACGTAAAGAAAACATCACCAGTCTCAGAGACCATCTGGAGATTAAAAAATAGAAGAGCAAAAGAATAACTTAAAAAATCACACATTTTGTTTCTCCTCATTGCATAGCATCATATGTACATAGCCTGTGCAAGAGATGCAATGAAAATATGCTTGATATTTGAAAATAAAAAGCTGGCAGATGACATCAGGCACCTAAATTGAAGTAAAATCCTTACCTTGGGGTTAAGAATGATACTTTCTGACTACAGAAGTAGATTACCTGAAGTGCTTTAAACTAAAAGTTGAGGCCACAGAAAGGAACCTTATGCTTTAAGATTTCTTTAAAAAACTGAATCTAGTGTCATTGGGCTAGATCTTTATTTGGAGTGGAATGTTGACACCAGTGAAGTCAATGACAAAGCTCTGAGAGGCTCCAGTAGAGACACGTAGCCACAGAACAGGTACCGGCCCACTGAGCATCACCTGATGAAAACTCCAACCTCCACTGCCATGGCAACAGACAGTACAAAAAGTGACATCAGTGGTCACCTTTGGAGGCTGTGGAGCCCCAGAGTGGTGTAGAGGTTTATGTATGCAGTCACCTTTCAGGTCTCTGGCTAGAATATTAAGAGGAGCCTTAGTGCTGAATATAGTCATAGAAATCACCCAGGCAGTGTCCTTCCCCTGGTATTAACAAATACAGCTGTGTTAGCAAACCTGGCTGCATCTATTGGCTAAGCAGATGCTCTGATGAGCAAAACCCTTGTTTTGAGGTTTCTTCCAATCAAAATTTGCATGTCTTTGACTCAACAGTGAAATGCTGTGTAGAGGCAAGGTACAAAACTTGGGACCAAAAGATCTGTGGTCTCTCATTTTTGTTCTTCTGTCAAGTATGGGATGAGGGTACACTCTTGCCTCACATTCTAGATTTCCCTTCCTTAAAAAATAATTTAAAAAAAGGAGGTGAAGTGCCTTGTTAATAGATTCAAAATCTCCCAACATTACTAGAAAGTGTACTCTGCTATTTTAGCAACATAATAAACTAGTAAATACATGATTGGAAAAAGAAAATGGACAGGAGCAAATTTTTTAATATGTGATGAAATTACAGAAAATCTCCATATAAGTATATGAACAGTTAAAGGATTTATGATTAAAATGTTTTAAAAAAAAATAAAAATTCCTATAATATTTTTATGTTGATGCCTATTAAGAGAGCAAATGAAGGTTTTATAGGTTTGGTTATTTCTATCCCTACTGAGCCCTCTCTTTCAATAAGCCCATTTGAAGATTACTGCTTCTGGTTTCCAGTAGTTTGCTGCATTTATCAATTTTCCACCTGTGCAGCTTCTGAGCTTGACAGACTCACATGTGTGGCTCTCACCTTCAGTATGTACAGAAATACTGAATTGTGTGGAAGGAATTTCAAACAATCACAGATATCACTTATGTAACAGGCATATACAAAGATTAGGTTGGTGGTATTCATGCTGCAAAACAATAAATGTGTTTCCACCCCAATAGTTCCTGCATTTTTTTTCCTTCCTAAAGTTTCACAATAGATTTTAAATATGCATGCCATGGGAAAATACTTTCAGTGATACATAATTCATGAGGATATCAATAAATCCATATAATTTTGAAAGAAGAAAGAAGGGTCTGTTAAATAACAAAGAGAAAAGCCAGGAGGAGCAAGAGAGGAAATTCTTCCCTAACACCAAGACACCAACATTGTCCCTGTGATCCAGAAAGAAAAGATGTGAGACAATACAAAGCATCATATGCATGAGGAGAGTCTGTACTGCATCCTTACTCCCATATAGTTTACTGCACAGAGTTAAATCCTTTGATGGTCATTCTGTTTGCATAAAAGGGTAAGTCTTTGATAATTTTGATTATTTACGTTGTGTTTGCTGGTTATATAATTTTCTCTGTCCCTCTGTCTCGTTTTCTGTTGGATTTATATGGATCTGAAATGACAGGAGCGAAAGATGTGAGCCCAGGTGGCCATGCAAGAAACAAAGGAGAAATGAACAAGGTTCAAGGACATTTAAACAAAAATAAACAGGAAACATGTATAAACCTTTATTTACATTTCCTGAAAAAATTGGTACGAGCTGTTTTTGGATGTTGTACCTGAACTAGGAACTGCATTAATTATACCATTACTGGAGCAGCTTTTATAGGAAGAGTTATAGTGTATCACCTTCTTAAAATGAGACTGACCCACAGTAGAAGGGTGACCTGTGAACAGCACATATGTTATCTGTTAAAACCTCCAGAAACATAAATAAAACTCCTTTTGCCTAATCTATTAATATTGTCTTACACATCAGATCTATACTTTTCATTCTCTGTATTCTACAACATTAGTAATTTTAATACTCAGGACTGATGGAGATAAAGGAAGATACAGCTAATGACTGAAGGGGCAACTCTGCTAATGAGAAACTGAGCAATTGATGAGCTCCATGGGCACCAATATAAATATGTTTGAAGGTGGTAGTAAGTTGGATCACAAATCAGTAATGTCTCAATAATTAGAATCTCTTCCATAAAAACTTTAACAGATCTTACTATATTTTTTTCACTTTCCTGTTCTGGTGGAGATATCTGTTCTCTTGTTTCTGCAGGTTCTTCTGTTGCCCCTTCACCTTTTATGTGGTAGTTTCACCCTTGCTTCTGGCATTGTGTGGTGTGAAAGTTTTATAGAGGCCATAGCAAGGGCCAGTGCTTCACGGGTAGCTCCTGTGAGCCCTGTGTGGGCTCTCATGCTTGGCAATGGAATATCAGAGAGCGAGGACACAGCATCCATTCATGTATTCTCCAATCTCACTGTCAAGTCCCATCTCATTGCCACACAGCTTCTTTATGCCTTAATGTATCTGTAGACCCTCTTAGCTGGGTTCAGCAGCAGAGGTGGTATGGAGGAAACCTGTTTTATTATAAGCAGCATGATTTCTTTTCCTCCTGGTGGCACCTGGCACTCAGCTCTGGGACATGGAGCGTGAGAGGCTAGAGCCTGTTTTTATCTCCTTGTGTAGATGGTGATATGTTTTAAATATCTTGAGCTAGTTTACCACTCTAACCAACAGTGCAGCATGCACTTTGTGTATCTGTGCCCTTCACATGCATTTCACTAACATTTCTATCATGGTGGGTATGAGGTGGGATGACAGAGGGCACTTGATTATCTATACTTGCCTGAAACCCATCTCCTGCAGGAAGCAAGCCTTCAGGAGACACCACTTTGTCTGCTTCCCACTCAACATTATTAGTTAGACCAAGAGAAAGTGAGGAGGAGAGCACAAAGCTGGTGTCCACTAATATAAAAGTCTTGAAAGCAAGGCCATGGTAGTAGCAATAGTAAAAAATCTAGAGTGCCTAAGGACACTAGAACACTATAAATAATATTGCCATTGGCACATTCAAGTGAAAACCATGACTGCCCAAGTGTATTAAGTTTTCTTTCCTATCACAGCTACAATAAAATAGTAGAAATAAAACTGTGTGGGCAGATAAGGAGTGTATAAAGGGTAGTTACTGTGATTTATGGGGTTCTGATACTGGTGGCTTCCCTTGTTCTCCAAGGGATAGAGAGGGAATGAAAGCCAAGAAAACAAAGGGGATTTTCAGCATTTCATGAACAGCATCAATTTTAGGACTTTTACCAGCATTTTACCAGTTATCACCTTCTCATCTCTTACTGCTTTCGGTTCTTTCTGATGTAGCCTGTCAGGGTCTGGGGGTTTTAAAATATATTTTTTGGAAATGAGATTCTAATAGCTGATACCAGTGAAGGTAAATGGAAAAACTGCTGCCCCATATGACTTATGTTTGCTTTAGTTGTCCCAGGAGTCCCCACAGTGCAGCCCCCACTGGAAACAACAAAGGTGGAGCTCCACAAAAAGAAAAGGGCACTTCAATCCTCTGAATTGTTTCATGTACTATACTGGGAGCAGCGCTTGAGGAGGTGCCAATTTGTTAAATAATTTGATTGTTTACTAATTGTTTACTATTTCCAGAGCTTTCCTGTCACTCTCAAAGCATCTCCTTAGTCTTTCATCTAAGTCCATCTGTTCTTCTGTCCTGCTTCAACTAGATTGCTTGTAAGAGACTCTGCAGCCAGTTCAGCCACAAAGAGATGACACAAAGCTTTTCTACAGTATTATCTGGATGAAAAAGTGATCAAAGACCAAACTTTGGCTTAACAGAAAATTACTGACCAGTGTTTACCCACCATGTCTCCTTAGTCTTCTAGTGTAT